CACCCATGAGTCCCATTACCTTGCACTGATATTGATTAGAATTTAAAAACAAAGAGATAGACCACCTGAAACTCATATAGTATTGTATATCAACTGTAACTGAAAAATAAAAAATATTTAAATTATATTCTCCAAACCCTTCACTGCATTAAAGCTTGTGATATAGCCCCAGAATAATAATAACAACAATAACAATAACAACAGTGTTATCACGGAAAAGAAAGGGACCCTGAACTTTTGGAAATCTGCTTATTTTCATTCATTTCACCAGGAATTTTTTACCATCACCAGGGTTTTAATTCTATTCAACACTTCAAGGCCCAAATAAATTCTGCCTCATTTAGGCAATTTTTCCTGTGACCTTCAATGTGCTCTCTCCTCTCAATTTTCACAGTTTCATTTCCTCCTGGGACATTATTCACAACTGTCTGATCAAGTATGTGGGTACCTGGCATCTCCATGAGGCTCTGAGCTACACAGAGGGAAGATCTAAATGTTACTGTTGCATCCCATAAGAGCCTAGGTTGGTACCTGACACACAGTGGGTGTTCAACAAGCATGTAGACTTGAAGGGGACAGTTAGTTTGCTAGATCGTTCAGTGGTTCTCAACCTTCCTAATGCCGCGACCCTTTAATACAGTTCCTCATGTTGTGGTGACCCCCAATTTCATTGTTACAAATTGAACATAATTAAAGCATAGTGATTAATCACAAAAACAATATGTAATTATATATGTGTTTTCCGATGGTCTTAGGTGACCCCTGTGAAAGGGTCGTTCGAACCCCAAAGGGGTCGCGACCCACAGGTTGAGAACCACTGGTTTAGGTCATCTCTAATCTGCATATTCCAGAATGGCAAGGGCTGCAGAATGGCTAATTACACAGATGTTAATTATATGAATACAATATACAGTAAGTATTGTACTTGCTGTTTCCTCTGCCTGGAGGCCTTTCCTTGAGCTATTCATTTACTAGTAGTTCTTTCCTGCATCTCCTGCTGATCTTTGCTCAAATGTTACCTTCAAAGAAAGACCTTCCCCAATTATCCTATTTAAAATTTCAACACACCCCTGCTATCATTTGAATGTTTGTGTCCCTCAAAATTAATATATTGAAATCATAACCACCAAGGTGATGGTAGTAGGAAGTGGGGCCTTTGGGAGCTGCTTAGGTCATAATGAGATTAGTGCCTTAAGAGACCCACAGAGCTCTGTAGCTCCTTCTGCCGTGTGAGAATAGAATTTGAAGTCAGCAACCAGAAGAGGGCCCTCACCCGACCCTCCTGAAACCCTGATCTCAGACCTCCAGCCTCCAGAACAGTGAGAAATAAATTTCTATTGTTTATAGGCACCTAGTCTGAATTCAGGTCACTCCTGAAAGTGATTTAAACTCTGCTGTATTTTGTTATAGCAGCTTGAATGGACTAAGACATATACACCCCCAACACAGGAACTACCTATCCTTTTTTCAAAATTATTTTTCTGTATATCACTGATCATCATCTAATATACTGTATGTTTTACTTTTAATTTTTCTTATTTTCTATTCCTCACCTCACATCATAGAATATAAATTCTATGGAGCAGAGATCTTTATATTAGTAAATTATATGTACTCCTTTACTCAGTAATGCTTAGAAAAATCCCTGGCAGGTTAAGCACAAGATAGATACTCAATAAATAGCTTTGGAATGAAATTTAAAAATGAATCATAAAGCATTAATAAAACACCTACCTCTACCTGGCACTGATCCTATTGAAGACACTGCACCTAATCAAATACATGGAGCCCAGTGGGTCTGCACAGTCAGGGGGCAAGCAGTGCATGAGAGAGCAGAGCAGGTGTCTCCTCTGAGGCCATCACCAAAGGTTAGGGCCCTGCTTCAGTCTTGCATACCTTTGTCCTTAACAAGTCCAGAACCACTAGATGGGTGAACAGCTACACCGTAAGGCACAGATAATATGTGCTAAAGGAGTTCAGACCCAGAAGAACTCACTTCAAGGACATCACTGCAAGAAGTGTGGTAGTCAGCTTCTGAGATATCCCCTAGGTTTCCTATCCTTCTGGCATTCACATCCTGTGGGTCTCCTGCCACAACGAATCAGGACTGCCCTATGGCACTGACAGAAACTTTCCAGGGCTAGGTCAGAAAAGGTATCTCAGCTCCAGCCTTGGTCTCTCGGATTCCTCACTCTTTGGAAGGTAGCTGTGCTCCCCACTATACTACCAGTGCATCCCTCATTCTTTGGGAAGCCAGCTGTCATGCTGCGATGACTCTCAAGGAGCCCAGGGAGAGGAACCAATTCGCCAGCATCAAACTGCCAGCTATGTGAGTGAGCCTCCTTGGAAGTAGACCTTCTCAACCTGGAGAACTCTGTAGATGGCTGTAGCCTTGGCCAACATCTAGTTTCAAACTCATGGGTGATCCTGAATGAGAACCACCTAAGTGAGCCACTCCTGAATTCTAAAATCCACAGAAATCATGCGAGGTAATAAATGAAAATTATTGTTTTCAGTCATTAATTTTGGGAGGTTTATTACACAGCAATAGATAACTAATACAAGAGGTCATGGAAATGACTTCCACAAAGGAAGTAGGGCTTGAAACAGAGCCATCAAAAAAAATTGTAGAAATAACAGGCAAAGCAGAAAAGCAAGTATGGGGAGAAACCATGAGCAACGGCAGGTACGAATGTTACCCAGAAACCACACCCACACAGAACCTCAGGATGGGAACAAATCTGAAGGACATTCGTACCTTTCATCTAATGCTAAAGTTCATTTTTAAAATAATAAAATGAAGGCAAGTGTTGCATGAATTTATCTAAGCTGAAACCCAGGAGAAGGTTGACTCCCTATAATTCTCCTCCATGTAGTGATACAAATGAGGAGTATTCAGTCACAACAGAGACCAACCACATTCCTGAGCCTGAATTGAGGTCACTCTTCAAAGCAATTTAATAAGAATTGAGGGAGGAGGAAGAGAGAGAGCAGGAGAAAGAGGGGAGGGAGGAGGAGAAGTAAAAGAAGCAGAAGCATGAGGAGTATTCAGTCACAACAGAGACCACATTCCTGAGTCTGAATTCAGGTCACTCCTGAAAGTGATTTAGTAAGAATTGAGGGAGGAGAAAGAGAGAGAGCAGGAGAAAGGGAGGAAAAAGAGGAGAAGAAAAAGAAGCAGAAGCAGGAGGAAAAGAAGGAAAAAGAAGAAATAACAACAATTATAGCAACTCTACAACAGAAGAGGAAAGAGGAGAGAAAGGAAGGAAAATATTGATTAACTGAAATGCTATGTGGTGGGCATTGTCCTAAGTTCTTTAAATACATCAGCTCATTTTACCCTCACCACAACTCCACATCCTCAAATTATTTTAGTTCTATTTCTTCCTCCCCGTGTTCGCAAGAGACTTCCCCTCACCCCATTCTCCTGAAAGTGGACAGCTACAGAGAAGGATTAAGTCATCATGCATCTAATCTCTTTTCAGGAAAAATCTGAGCACATAGTCAAGGTTCTAGCAGGGTCCAGCCAAGAAAGAATCTACTCACAGATTTGGGGCATTCCCTTCCCTGAGGATATAAAGTCAAATTTCCTAGACTGCTGATCAGTACACCTCCAGTCAAAGGAAGAACGTATCTGAGATGAAAAAGAAAAAACCTACAGCATTCTCTATCCCAAGAAATCATGTTTTACTGCCCCAGAGTCAGTTCTTCTAGAGGCCAGTAGTAGATCTCAGAACCTCTCCTGGAGGAAGGATTTCACCACAAAGGTAACCCCCTATTTAAAGAAGTAGATACAGGTATTTGCCTTTAACCAAAGGGAAGCATGGGGGGACTTGTTCTGTAGGGAGTCACTTTCCAAAGATTCTGCCGTATGTTCAGTGGTATAAGAAGGGGAGGAACCCCAGGTCAAGTTCAAGCCAGAGGAGGTGGCGTTAGTAAGCATTCCCCTCCACACCATCCTCCCGTGAAAAGAGGGTATATGCTGAACTAGGATTAGAGAATACAGTTTTTAAAACTTACTCAAGGTACTGAAATAGCTGGCTATACTTCTGAGAAAACAAAACATAGAAAATTAATTATAAAAGGTATATATACCTCAGAGAGTCTGGAAGATAAGGCATGTACCAATTAAAGGCCTACAGAGTAATGGTCTTCTTACTATGAGACCAGACTTTCAACAAATACCATCCCAATGGCATTGATGATGGACATGAAAGGGTCACCATCAAGAAAGTCTAGGAATGATCACCAAGATCTCATATACATGGGGCTCAATAGAACATTCTGGAAGTGGACGAAGAGGATGCCCAAGAAGCTTCTATGGAGAAGAGTAGTCATAAAAACTCTTTCTCATAAAAAAAATGATAACATGGAGCATTATGCTAAGTGAAATAAGCCAGTCAGAGAAAGATAAATATCACATGATCTCACTCATATGTGGGGTATAATGATCAACATAATTTGATGAACAAGAATAGATGCAGAGACAAATGGCGGGGGCGGGGGGGAGTGCTTAGAGAGCAACCAAAGGACTTGTATGCATGCATATTAGCATAACCAATGGACACAGACAGACACTGGGGCGGTGGGGGCTTGCCTGGGGTAGGAATGGCTGGACGCGGGCGAGGGGGGGGGTCAAGCAGGGAAAAAGGAGACATATGTAAAACTTTAAACAATTAAAAAAAAAGGTCTTGGACTCTTGAAACAATAGAATTATCAACCAGATAGGCCATCCTGGTTTGTAAAAGGATGCTTTGCTGCCCAATCCACAGGATCACAGAAAACAATTACTATCATCCAGTGAGAGCACGTTCCCAGAGTACACAGGCTGGGGTACAGAAATGTGCCCTGTGTCTCTCTGCATTTCCCCACAACCCAAGCACAAAGCTGCACACAGAGTAAGATGTGGCTACCGTGGGTGCTGACAGTACTATAGCCCACACTCCACACCCTCAAGTTGCTCCCAGTCAAAGGTGCCAAGGCCCCTGCTCTGAGTTTACCATCATTGAAGCTGTCACTGTTGGTAACGTGGGTGAACGGTGACTGGGCCCGCGGCTCCTCGCTCAGAGAATAGCTGTGCTCGGCCTGGATGAGAGGGGCTGGGGATGTGGGGGATGGCTCCACCTCCATGGACACACTCTTCTCTGACAGGAAAGGGTCGTTCAGCAGCTGACCCAAGACGTTCTGGGAAAACTCATCCAGGAGTTCTGAGAAGTGCTGCAAGAAACAAAGCAGGAAGAACTCAGTTTCTCGGTACCAGGATCTGATATTTACACACGAATTCGAAAGCAAATATATCATCCAGAGCTTTAAATGAAATCACTGAGATACAATGTTCAGTTATCTATGGCTGCACAGCATACTACCCCAAAGTTCAGGGGCTTAAAATACCACAGTTTATTATTTCTCACACTTGGTGAGTCGCCTGGGTGGGTGAGCTGATTTCTTCTGGGTTCCATGATAGAACCATAGTGAGCTAGAAGGTTGGCTGGGGGCTGGGCTGGGCCAGGACAGTGGACACCTGGGCCTTTTGCTCAAAGAGGCTTCCTCAGCTGGAATTGCTCACATGGTGGTAGAAATATTCCAAGAGGGAGCAAAACAAAGCTGAATGACCTCAGAAGTCACAGATCATCCCTCCCTCCACATTCTTTTGGTCAAGGCGAGTGACACGGCCAGCCCAGATTCAGGGGGTAGGAAAATAGATTCCACCTCTCAATGAAGGAATGGCAAAGTCACACTGCGAGAGAGTGTCAGCATGACGCACAGGGGCCATCACTGTAACTCCCTACCACCATCTGCATTGGGAAGATTTTAAAATAGCTATCTTGTTATTTATAGCAAAGTGCCAAATTCAAAGGCATCAAAGGCAGCTCCTCTCCGTTCTCTCCGCCACCTGGGCTTTGTTCCTCTCCAGTTTTTCCTTAATCTCTTTTTATCCCTGATTTCCAACACCACCAACTCCCTAGCCCCCACCCTACCATGAAGATGATACAGGAATAATCCATACATATATTCACAGAGATCTCTACATCCCTTGTTCCACTGTCTCACCATGAAGAAGCTGCAGCCCCATCCACTCTCCCTCACTGACAGGGGGATGCTCGTGTCAGGAGGATCTGTAGAGCAGGATCCTACAACCTTGGCACCACTGGCAGTTTGGACTGGATAATTCTTTATTATGGGAGTGGGGTTGTGCTGTGCATTATAGGAGGTTTAGCAGCCTCCCTGGCCTCTATCCACTCGATGCGAATAGCACCCCCTATTTTTGAAATGAAAAATGTCTCCAGACACTACCAAATGTCCCGGAGCCAGGAGGGGTGTCATTCTTGGTTTAGAACCACTGCTATAGAGTATATTAAAAATAATAATGAGTTAATTCAATTTAAAAGTCCATTCTGACAATAGCTGTTAGAGCCATTTCTTCCTTTTTAACTTATCCAGAGGACAGACTAACATGTCATCCTTATTGATTAAATGTTAGGGATGTTTCTGGTATAGAGAAGAAGTTACCAAAGCAGATACAGCAATAAGAGAACTGACTGCAAATGGTGATATTTGGATGGGCAATGAAAACTCTTAGGATTCACATGGATAAGTTCTACCACTGAACTGGAGTGTCAGGGAAGGTGTTCTGAAAAGGAATATAGCTTGGGGAACGATGTAGAAGGTGGCTCTGAGGTGAGAGCTCTAAGATTAGGGAAGAACTTCTCTTGTAATAAAGGAGAGAAGCAGACAACACAGAGGAGGTCCTTGTAGGCTGGATCCCTAAAGCAGAGTTAGACTGGTGGCTTTCACCAATATCACAGACATGAGAAATGGCTGCATCCCATCAGGACAGAATGCAAGACCGTCACAGGACTTGGGCGCGTCCTAATCAGCATCAGTCATCTATGAGAACAAGACAGCATGGTTGGGAGAGAGTTCTCTGCGTACAAACACATTTAAAACTGAAAGGTCCTGCTCTGGCTGGTGTGGCTCAGTTGGTTGAGCATTGTCCCATGCACCAAAAGGTCACTGGTTCGGTTCCCCATCAGGGAACATACTTAGGTTGTGGGTTCGATCCCTGGTCAGGTTTGTACGGAAGGCAACCGATCAATGTTTCTCTCTTGATGTTTCTCTCTCATATCAATATTTCTCTTTCTCTCTCTCTTTCCCTCTCCCTTTTCTAATAAAAAACAAACAAACTCAATAAAAATATTTTTAAAATTAAAACTGACATCCTAAGGACCTTTCAGAATATCAAAGGGAAGAATTCCCAGATGCCAACTGTCTACATCACAATTACCAGAACAGTTTTTAGTAATTTTATAATGAAATATTTTAAACATTGGAAGAATTATAGAGAATAGTGCCACAAATAATCAGGTATTCATTCCTTTGGGGAAAAAATCTTATTTTTTTCATGTTTGCTGCTGCAACCTTTTTTCTTCACTCTTTTTTTAAAGAAGTAAAATATGCAAGGACTATAAAACTCCCACTCAATCGTCTTCTTTCCTCTCAAAGTTAACTACTACCCTAAACTTGGTGTTTATCATTCCCACCCACACTTTTACTGCGTGTGTATGTTTCCATTGTGCACATATGAACTTTTTAAACTTTAGTAAGTAGTACCGTACTTCACACATCCTTCTGCAACTTTATTCCCTCCAAAAAGGTTTTTTTTTAGATTTTTTCATGTTTATACATGTAGTTCTATTTCATTCATCTAAACCTCTGAATTGTATTCCATTGTATCTACCCATTTCTTCTTGAGGAGTATGTAAAGATTTTACTATTCTATATGATACTAAATAAACATTCTTGAACACGAAGGGAAATTTTTTAAAAGTACCAATCCTGTGACCCACCTTCGGAGATGTTGACTTAGTTGGCCAAAGGCACCACCACCAGTGATTCTAATGCTCACTTCAATTTCTGAACCACTGCAGGTCGGCCCCACCTCCACTCCCCTCCCCACCCCACTTTACAGTGAAGTCCCTAGAAGTTTACAAAGTCCCTGGAAGTTCAGATGTGCCCAGGTCAGAGGAAGAGTCATGTGTTTAGCAGCTACACATGCTAGACTTTAAATAGACACTGGGGATACAAAACAACAAAGAAGAAGATAGGAAAAGCCCATGCCTTCCCTGAGCCCACCAACATTATGTGCTATGAATCGCCCGGGGATCTTAAGACATAGATGCAGACTCCCAAGTCTCGTGGGCCTGAGGGTCTGCATTTCTAAGAAGCCCCCGGGATGCTGCTAGGCTGTAGCGAGGAGCAGAACAGCTTCAGGCTCAGATCAGAACCCAGGTTTCCTGGACTCCAGGATAACCTGTTCTGATTCCCTAAACAGCTCCCCAAAGACAAACTTACTGGTGGCCTGATGGTAAATATTCTGCAAGTGCCTGACGGAGTTCCTTTTAGGACCAAAGTTAAGGTAACGAAAGAGAAATAAATCGTAGGATGTAAAATGCAAAAGCAAGAGTTGGACTCGCAGTCCCTGCATTTCCAAACCACAGTTCTGTCCCCTGAGTTGCAATGTCGACTCTGGAGGGTTGTGCTGGCCCTGCTACACCTCTGGAATCCACTCTGTCCTGAGGCAAGGCTCCCTTTGATGGCTGCGCTTTCCCATGGAAGTTGCCAGGTTGGGCTACTCTGCTGACACTGTTTTCTTTCCCGGGTGCAGCACTAATGAATGTTTCCATGAACATCCCTGGCTAACCAATAATAAACCTTCCCAAACTGCCAACCATCCCTGAATCCCCTACTTTGGATTTTGTAGTAATTATCATCTTACCAAACAATTTAGCCCTAAATGATGATCAGTCCTGAAGAACTCAGAGTTGTTATCAAAAGCATTCTGATAAACTCTCCTCTGTTAACGAACCTCCTCAGAAGAAGGGACCAGCTGTGCCTAACCACCCAGCACACCTAGGAACTTAGCAAAATGGTGAGCACTGAGTAGTTCCCAGGAGACAGTGGTGTTGGAAAAGATATGCCAAACTTGTCCCAACCAGATGCGGTGCCTGGGCCCAGCAACCAGCCTCAGCTGGGTCTCCTTGACAGCTGCGGGCTCCAGGGCTCAGCAGACAGGTCAGCATCCCACTGCTGGTGCAGGGCAAGCCAGAACTGGCCCATCCTTAATGTCAGCCAGTGAGAGAGGGGCAGATGGTCTTGGAGCCCGAACACCAGAGAAAGGAGCAAAGTGAACACATGTTAACAAAGGATTACTCATGTGAACCCAAGGGCTAAGCAATTTTAGTTGCTCTTTCAAGAACATGGCCACAATAGCATTTCACCATTCTGCCTAACCGTCAAGTTTTAAGGGTTTACAAGTTTTAGGGGTTGACTTAGTTGGCCAGAGGCATCTATATTAAGGCACCACCACCAGTGAATCTAATGCTCACTTTAATTTCTTAGCTTTCCCACTCATTAATGCTCACAACAATCCCACTGTCCAAGATCTCAGTCACCTACTATTAAGAGACAGACCTTGGCCCTAGCTGGTTTGGCTCAGTGGATAGAGTGTCGGCCTGCAGACCGAAGGGTCATGGGTTCGATTCTGGTCAAGGGCACATGCCTGGGTTGTGGGCTTGATCCCCAGTGGGGGGCATGCAGGAGGTGGCTGATCGATGATTCTCTCTCATCATTGACATTTCTCTCTCTCCCTCTCCCTTCCTTTCTGAAATCAATAAAAATATTTTTTTTTTAAAAAAAGAGACAGACCTTGAACAACAGTCTACTTATTTCAGATTGACTGAACTTTTTCACATTGTTTCTCTAAGAAATAAATATTTGAGCGTCACAATCCAAATGCATGGAGATGTTCTAACAAGTATAAACCATGATGCTAGTCTTTGATGATCTTGATAGAATTGGGTGCTGAACTCACCTGATGAACTAAGTGTTGAACATGTTAGACTTTCAGAAAATGAGCTAGGTCAGCGGTTCTCAACCTGTGGGTCGCGACCCCTTTGGCGCTCGAATGACCCTTTCACAGGGGTCGCCTAAGACCATCCTGCATATCAGATATTTACATTACAATTCATAACAGTAGCAACATTACAGTTATGAAGTAGCAATGAAAATAATTTTATGGTTGGGTCACAACATGAGGAACTGTATTTAAAGGGCCAGAAGGTTGAGAACCACTGAGCTAGGTACTTTCCTATAAGGTAGACATGTCCCATTTATATATGGGGAAAATGGGGCTCAGAGTAGCTAGGTACATTGCCCAG